TATGGCTTCCTCTTTGCAAAATGGTTCCATCGCACAGGGAGTGCTGGACTACCCCTGAGAGGGTAGGAGAGTCCAGCACACAGGCTGTGTTGATAGTTACATTTTTAGAATTGTTTCACCAGGAACTGAGTTGCTCTGGATTCTAAGCATGCATTGAGTCTTAGCTTTTTTCTGACTAAGGGGAGAAGCAAATGAACAGAAAGAGGTGAGATGATATCCCGGAGGGTAGAGGTTTCCACCTCAAAACACATTTGGCCTTTTTAATAAAAGAGATTTCCTTCAGCACCTCAGGATCCAATTCATCTTATTCTTTGCATTGGCTTGATACAGGGTCTCTGGATTCCTATTCTAGCTGACTTTTCCCAGATAAATTGTTTCTCCATTGCTTGAGAAGAGACCCGATCAATCCATTTTAGTTTAGGAATCCTGTCTGTGAATCTGTAATTGGTTTTGAGCTTCACAGAACAGAGAAAATTATAAACACAAAAGAAAAAAAATACTGTAGCATTTATTTGGAAGAGAAACTGTACCTTTGTGGTAGACCACATGCTTTACGTGCAAAAGGTCCCACGTTCACTTCCTGACACCTCTGGTTGAACCCGGATAAGAGTGTCCACAACCGTCACCACAGAGACCTGTAAAATGGATGCAAAACCAGCCCACAAGGAAGGATCTTCTGGGAGCGGCAGTGTAGGAGGGGGAAGAACATATGCCGGTACTTGCATGTTTTGTAGTGGCAGTGCACTGAAAGGAGCAACACGGCTGACTCATTTTGGCATTGGGGTTGCAATAAATAATCATAGAGCTGCAGGGGACCCTATGGATCACTGGATCAAGCCCATCAATGGGGGCACAGCCGGGCATCGATCTGTGCGTTGTGAAGAATTCTAGGGTGCAGGTTCAGCTCAAGGAAGGCACTGGCCAGCCTTCTGCATGCTTTTTCTATAGACTGAGAATGTGGAGCAGAACTCAAGCAGCACCAATGCTTAAGCAGTACATTTTAGAGGAAGACTCACAGGAGTGGGTCAGTGTCTACTCTAAAGCCACTTGCACTTCTACTTGACACACTTCTTTGCCATTTCCACTTCTACGGGTCCATCATACCATAAAATTTACCCTGGGATTCATAATTTGGTGAAGGACCGGACAATTCCTAGAGCACTTTTCCAAAGTACATAGAGGTACCAAACTATGCTGTGTCTGTGTAGTGTCGCTATAACTGAAGCACTAATTTTTTGACCTGGGGAGGGGGCACTGCATTGTCAGCATTTTCTAAGAGTGCTTCTTGTTGGTTGCCAGTCAGTCAAATCCACAACAAGCAAGGAGCAGGGAAGAGCCCTGCAGAGAAATTATATAAACGAGAGTCCCAAAATTCACGGCAGACGGTTGTGCCAAGCTTGTTTCTCAGGTGAGATCTCCCCTAGGAGAAATCTGGTATTAGGCCAGAGTCCAGGTTTCTGTGCCATAGCCTTTACGTTTACAAGGCCAGGATAGCAGAAGAGGTACAGTAGATTCCCCACCTCGCTGAACGACCCTTCTAATTTTAAGTGGCATTAATGATAATGTGGTTGATGATTGTAAATAGTAACTTAGGAATTATTGCTCTTAGAGGTTTGACAATGTAATTGATAGATGCCCTTGTTCAGACTCTTTGAGTGATTACCGGGTAGTTTGGCACACGGTTGGCGGCTGTAACCTTAATTGTGACTGATTAATTGGGTTGAAATATGTTGCTAAGTCAATTCAGCTGTTTCATTAAACGGACTGAATTGCATCCCGCTATTAGAGGTGTTTGAAGGAAAGGTACCTGACAGATGATATAGGAGCACTATAACCCTTTGCATTAAGCTATAAAAAGGCCATTAAGGAAGTGTGTGCCAAAATTGAACTGTTCCAGAGAAATCTGACTTCTGAGCCCTCATGCTAATTAAGCAATATGTGTTTAATGAATGTCAGAAGTTAATTAGAAAACCCGGTGGCCGACCCTAGGGTTTTCAATATTTTCTATTTTGCTCCAATGTTGCATGTATGTACAGTATGTTGTGGCTGTATGTGTATTATGTACACTGTTTTGATCCCTTGGCAAAGATAGGAAGAATAAGTAGAAAGAGAAACTTCTGAGATGCCTGTGAAATATTTAGGTCTTCTAGCCTCTTGTCTCTTCTCAGTCATAATTCTCCAAACATTTCTCTGCATCACCTCAATTGTAAATGGAACATGGATTAAAAGTCCCCCGTTGATGGTTTGAAATACTACCAGATGTGTTTCCATTTATATTGTAACAGTTCACAAAAGGACCACCCGCTGAATATGTACAGCATAGAACTGGAGAAGAGAATGTTATTTGGTGTGAGTTTTGTGCCTCTTCTTCTCAATTTGTATCCCCCTTTCCCCAGGAGATTAAGATGGGGCAGGGGACTCCATGGCTTGGAGGGAAGACCCTTGTTTAAGTACAGTAGTTGAAACTCCAGTAAAGTCAGTGCTGCCTCTTGCCCCCTCCCCACACATCTTGTATCTCTTGATCTCCATATCCTTGCCCTTAGCTCACTGTGCAATGCAGGAGGCAGGTGATGCCTTTATTTGACCCCTCTAAAAAAAATCAAACAATCTGCAAGCTTTCATAGATCAAAGTTCACTTCCTCAGGCATGCACCATTGTCTTGTCGGTAGTGCAGAGAAATTATACAAACGAGAGTCCCAAAATTCACGGCAGACGGTTGTGCCAGGCTTGTTTCTAAGTTAGAAAAAGCGCAGCCTGCATCGGAGGTGTGGTTTTTCAAACCACAGCTCAGGTAGCTGTTGATTAGATATCACACCTCAAACAAAGAAACTCAGGCAATATGCACCTCACCTCCCATATGGCTGTCTTTTGAAACTACGCATTTCTCTTTGGCAGAGAGCAAGGCAAAACACACACACACAGAGAGAGAGAGAGAGAGAGAGAGAGAGAGAGAGTCCTCCATCAGGGTACTGGAGTGAAAATTTTGTTTACACACTAGGCTGAGCCAATTGGAGCCCAATTAAAGTCAAATCAATAATATTACCTAATGGTTGGGAGTTGGTGTTTCCTTCAGTTTGCAGTCCTACTTGGCTGACATTAAGACTCCACATTGTCATCTTGGTCATGCAAGAAGCAGCTTTTGGTTTGTTTTTTTGTTTTGGAACTAGTTCACAGAGTTAGGCCTCTGACTGTGGAGCCAGAGGTTGGGAGTTTGATTCTGCGCTGTGCTTCCCAGGAGAAGAGCTGGCTGGTCTTGCTTTGGTCAAGCTGCCCAGTGCCTGAGCACCCCAGGAAGGAAATAGCAGGCCGCCGCAGAGCAAAACAGAAAGGTGTGGGGTCCAGAAAGAAATGCTACCCTATAAAGAAAACTCTCCATTTCTTATCTGGGAACGTTCTTTTTCCTTTCCAGGCCAGAGGCATTGGTAGGGAGTTTAGCCATTAGCTTTGTTAGCCTTTGGTTGCACCCTTGGGTGGCTCTCCAGCCGAGATAATGCCCATCAGCTCACCACTTAGGATCAGGTTGTCTTCAGTGGGAGTGAATGGCCATCGGATTGTCACCCTGATGATAGAGTGTTGGGCTAGAACTGGGTTAAATGAAGGATAGGGGAGAATTTCCTTCTAGTTCTTTGTGTGTGAGTCTGTGTGTGAGACTCTCTCTCTCTCTCTCTCTCTCTCTCTCTCTCTGTATGTGTGTGTGTTGATTGACCCAATTCCACCTGGCCCAGGGCTTTTGCCTAATTAAGGCCAAAATCTTATTGGTGAAAACTGCATGTGTGAGAGTAAGTCATGCAAATACTTCTCTCTTTTGCTCACCATCTGTCACATGCCCAGACATGCCACGAGCTGCACCCTCATTTGCTGTACCAAGAGATGATGAGGAACATAGTGGGTGGCCTAATGAGCTGCACCCTCATTTGAGAGATGATGAGGAACATAGTGGGTGGCCTTTTGATGATGTAGATTGATTTGTGCAGCTGTCCTTAAAGTGATCTTGTAAGGTTGTAGGATTCTGGCCTTGAATCTCTAGTGGTCCCCAACCGTGGGCCTCCAGATGTTCTTGGATTTCAACTCCCAGAAATCCTGACCAGCAGAGGTGGTGGTGAAGGCTTCTGGGAGTTGTAGTCCAAGAACATCTGGGGGGCCAAGGTTGGGGAACACTTCCTTAGGTTTTTGTTTTGTTTTGTTTTGTTTTTAAAGCAAATTACTGCAAAACTACAGTTGCCACCTTACTCTTTTTTTCTTGAAAAATTCTTCATCTTTAATACTTCTGTAGCAGTAAGTATTGAATTTGGCCAGTGCAACTGAGGATAATTTTCTTTTTGGAACTTACTCCAGTTTGCATATCTCTTCATATTTGGACAATTTGGAGACAAAGACCTCTAAGTTTTAATTTTTCTAGCTGAATATCCAAACAGAACAGACTGATTCCCCCCTCCCCTGGATAAAGCTGACATCCCAGTTCTGCTTTGCAGGTTATTGAGTACCTTAGGCCAGACCCTCTCTCATAGGCTAACCTGTTTCATAGCCTGTGGATAAATTGGGTTAATCCCATGTACATGGTCAAGAACTCCTTGGAAGAAGAGGAGGATGTCAATGTGAAGAATGAATGGTCTTAAGCATGCTTAACTCTGCCTTGGTTTGCCATATTCCCTCCCCCATCCGTTCTTTTCTTCCTTTCTCTCTCTCTCTCTCTCTCTCTCTCTCTCTCTCTCTCTCTCTCTCTCTCTCTCTTGTGTGCCTCCTGCACCAGAACCAGCAGCAGACAAAAGGCTACACAGTTAAACATTACAGAAGACAAAGATGGCCCTTGTGTTGAAAACATTGACAGGAGCAGAGTTGATGGGCTGTTTCTTCATTCACAGCAAGCAGATAAAAAAAGCACCAAGCTGTATATAAGCAACAGATGTCCTTCACGCGGGAGAAATGAGTAATGACAGTCATAAAGGCTCACAAAGCGTCCTGCTCATTTCCTGTCTCCTCCTTTCTCTTTATCTCAATAGTGCTGGGCCTAAAGGTGATAACATTTACGAATGGAGATCTACTATCCTTGGTCCTCCAGGTTCTGTTTACGAAGGCGGCGTCTTTTTTCTGGACATTACGTTTTCCTCCGATTATCCATTTAAACCACCAAAGGTAAGGCTGTGCGGCTGTCTTTATGGTTTCAGTGTGCTCTCAGTTCTTCTTCTCTTTTGAAACCAGGCAAAGGGGCAAGAGGGTGCTTACACCCTGAAAGACAGGGAAAGAGGCCGCTACCATCACCGAACGGTGAATTGCGTAACTCAGCTTTGCAGGCGGATTGATGACCGCACCAGGTGATGTGATGTATCACAGGGATTCATATCAATAACGTTTTCAGTGTGCTGCAAAAACACAACATGGAAAGGTCCCTTTTGTGCAATGCAACTCCCATACGTTTCCAACCCAGTTTAGACCCACTGGCTTAATTGCTTCATCACTACAGTGAGTCTACTCCTGTTGGGACTACCCACTGGATTCAGGCCCATATTTTCTGAATTTCCCCTTTCCTGTCTAGGGGTTTGGCCAGCTATATGTAGTTTCTAGTGTTGCATGTACAGGCTATGTTCACATATGATCTGTGCACTGAATCATGGATGGGGAACCTGTGATTTTACGGAGATTGATGAATCATTGTTCCCATCATCCATCACCTTTGGGCGAGTTAATTCAGTTCATTGGAGCTGACATCTAACACCATGTTAAACACTAGTGTCTAGCTGTCTGCCTAAAAATTACATAGTGGTTCTCGCTATTGTATAGTCATGTTCAATTGCCAGTTTCCGTGCTGTCTCTAAAAACCTCCTCCCCCCCCCCGAAAAAAAGAGGTTAAATTTTAAAAGTTACTTATTTTTTATTTCCTATGCTTTTCTTCCCTTGTTGCCAACTTTCTTATTACAGCCATTATTCACTGATGCTGCCGTTCTGCTTCTCAGTATAGCAGTGAGATCTCTATTTGTGCCTTTTACCAAAATGGACACTATACAGTGGAAATTGAGGACTAAAAATTCTGGATTGCTATCTATTTGGACAGAGCTAGTTTTTGGTGGCCCGTAGCGCCGCCACGTCCCTAGTTTTTGGTGAAACTTCTCCACCGAAAAGTTTTGAGTATCACACAAATGGTAGTAAGCGCAGCCTGTATTTTTAAGAAATGGGCATAAATAATCAATCCTCCTTTGTGAATGGCTGTAGTTTCGAGCCAGGATTGGATGGAAGATGTTGGTTTGTTTTATACAATAAGTCTGAGGTTTGATGTTGCCATTGACTGTTTGTTTTGTTATTCACACAGTGGTGGTTCCCCCCCACCCCAGTTTTTTCCTCTTACCTCAAGGTGTAAAGACAGATTTTCTTTTCCCAATATTGATGTTTCTATGTTTCCGCTTCAAACAGCCGAAATTCCCTGAGAGGGAAAAAAAATTCAGTTCAAAACAAAAGCTTATGATTGAAGCTATCCCCTAAAGAAAAGGGGAAAAAAATCAGACCACAGTCCAGCCTCTCTCAGTCAAAACATGGATATATTAAAACACTTTTTTCATGCCTTAATTTCTAACCCCAGTAAACATGAGAGGTGAGCTCCACTCTTTGATGCCCTAAGAAGGGGGGAAAACCTGTTTAACTTAGACTAAACCCCCTAACCATGCTGAAACTTTTGTCCTGTAAATATGGATCGGTAAAGATTATGTAACTGGGTAGTATTGTTCTGCAAATTTGCTGTTTGTAAATGTTGATACTACCAAAGTCATTTATTTCATTTCAACTCTTCCAATCTGATATTATTGTGCTGTATAAGAAGTGGAATGGTTAGTGGGATTATCCTATACAGTAGTGTTTACTTGGGTTGGAAGTTAAGGTACAAAAAGGATGCCTTGATGTGCCAGTGTTGATTTGCATGTGAATGTCTTTGCTTTGCAAAGTATAACTTCAACCACAACTTTTTATTGTGAACTCTTTTTTTAGTCTTTAGGGATTGTTAATATCCTCATGATGTTTTGGTATTATATTTTACATGCACCAGTTCATTCATATGTTCATGCCTTGCTTGCCTCAAACAGAAGCAAAAACAAACAAACAAACCATTGAGTTAACAAATAGCTTGCTCGGAGTCAAGAGTGGATTTGATTTTAATCAGATTGATTCATATCACAATTCAAAGAAATGATTTAAATTAGACTTGTGACTTTTAAAATAAAAAATCAATTATTTTGATTTAAATTATTGATTTAAAAAAACAACTGATTTTTATCCACTCTGCTTAAGAGTTGAAAATTAGCTAAACACACAAAGCAAGGATGTTCAGAAATTAGCTTTTACTTTCTGAACTAATCAAACTAATGGTATGCTCCTGAGTATTCTTAGTCTCTTGATCTGACAAGGGACTGGATTTAACATCGTAACTTTTATCAAGATGCGATGGCCACTTGTACATCACCAAAAATGGGTGGGCCGGCAAAGATGCGTGTCAGATTTGCGTGCATTGATGGAAATGTAGAAATTGTTGTGTTATGTGCCATCCAGCTGCCTCTGGCATGGCAACCCTATGAATGAATGGTCTCCAGAGCATAGAAATGATGACTAAAATACAAAGCGAACTACATTACATCTTAACATTGTGAGAAGGCTATGGTGACATGCATGTTTCTGCTGATTTTTTAAAAAATCTGTGCAAACATGAACTTAACAGCTCTTTGGACAGAGACTGCATTCAAATAGAAGAGTGTCTTCTATAAAGGAAAATTCAGACACTAGTTTCTGGGATTATCGTTTTCAGTGTAAGCAAAAGCAAAGATGTAGAGCTCAGTTTGTGGAGATTTTAGTAGTGTCCTTACACGGCAGGTTTGAGGACCATGCTGCAATTAAAATAAAGCCAAACTGAATATAGTCCATTGTAAGCTTGATCCCATTTTATTAGGATTTCACTGCTGGCCGGGTGACTTGAACAAGTACAAGTAGTGGAGTCTATTCAATAAAAATAAACTCCGTAAGACTTGGACATTAAGGATTGAATCCATATTCAATATGGGCATATTTGGGCATATTTAAAGCGGAGTAACTGACGTTAATGGAACTTAAGCTAGTTCCTGCTCAATGCAAATCAAATCAAAGGCAATCTGCCACGTGGTGGTCTACATATCTCTTGAATGACTCCTGTGTTGGGGGACTTGCCATCTCTAGAGGTCATCGGTTCCATTGCCAGATCCATTCCAGAAGAGATGCGCTGAATTATAAATCAGTTTATTATGGTCACAGAGTGTGCCTTTGAGGAGTGAAATCTTTAATTTCTGCCACTGATTCTGGTAGTAGCTTTCAAAAATCTTTTAGAGTGTTTCCACTTCTGCAGATTAAACTATTAAGAAAGCAAAACCTAACGAAACTTCTGTTTTAGTGCTTGTATCTTTTATTTAATATTCAGAAGTGTATTGATTTAGAAAGGAATAACTGTCTTGATACTTATTATGCTCTACCAAATAAAGATACAGTCATCTTTAGTTACTTAAAAATGATGTGCATGCTACTGATCTGTTTGACCATGCTGCTAAAAATAAAAAAAGAAATGCCAGATCAAGTACTTAAAATTGTCCCAAGTGTAAACTAAAATTTCATGTACTTGCTCATATGATACAGATATTTATGCCAGCATAAATGTTTGTTCAGAAGTTGCAGCTGTGTAGCAGATGTTTGATGCAGAAGAGTCAAAATCTGCTATTGAACATACAGACCAAATGTTAGGTTTGCAACGCTATTTGATCTGTTGAACACAAGCTGCAAAACTCAAGAGCCCCCCCCCAGCCCCAAATCTCCTGCCTTACCTAACAAGTTGTGCATTCTGGCTGGGGGCCATGTTTTTGTAAGCATGCCCCGTAGGATTTGTGACGTCTCTTTTAAACAAACAAGCAAACCACAAACTCCCAAAAGTGCTGCAAGCTGCTTTTGGATGACCCTGTCGGTTTCAACAGCCATTGGCCATGGGGCATGGCATGGGGCTGTTATACAAACACAATTCCAAGCTTCTCTGGGATGTGCTGCGGTGTTTATGAGCGGCCTGTGGGCTCCCCATCCTGGTCAGACCACTGTAGGAAATGGAATGCTCGTCCAGACAGGCCTTGGGGCTGATGCAGAGCATCTTTTGAAGTATTTTGAGGTACACAATTGATTTGACCAGTTCTTTGGATCCAGTATACACTGCCTCTTGGTACAGCCTTCTCTAGGCAATGTGGAGAATGTGCCATAGCTTAGAAGCTTAATTATGCTCTGTCAAGTCGGAAGTGACTTACAGCAACCCTGATAGGGCTTTCATGGCAAGTGAGGTATTTAAGGGGGTAATTTCACCAGTTCCACTCCCCCAGTGAGTTTCCACGACCAGCAAGCCTAGATGTCTATGTGTGTGTGCGTAAGCTGCATGCATACATGTACGTATGTACATAGGTAGGTATGCAGGCAGGCCGGGCGGTGGGTAACCAGTAAGCCTAGATGTCTATGTGTGTGCATAAACTGCATGCATACATGTATGTACATAGGTATGCAGGCAGGCCGGGCGGTGGGTATTTAAAATATTTCTACCCCGCCTTTCTCCTTAAAAAGATCCGAGGCGCCTTACATCATTAAAAAACAATATTAAAAAAACTAAACACAGTAAGTATACAAATATTTTAAAAAGATTTAACAAATATCACACTAAAATGGTGTAACTATTCTTAAGTAACTAGTTTCAAATAGCTTATTGCTGGTAATTAATTTACGTTGTAATATTGAATGCATAGCTAAATTACACGAGGATTGTAATGTAACAATTACCTTTGCAGTACAAATTTTAGATTACTTCTGTTGATCACAGGAGTGTGGCACCCCTCAGCAGAGGAGGAGGAAAATCATAAGGGTCAAGAACTAGCCCTTGGTTCTCGTGTTGCGCTTGTAACATTCAGGGTTGTGGTGTGGTTTTTTTTAAAATAACTAATAGGAACTAGTCACTTTTGAAAAATAAGAAAGTAAGGGGTTACTTTACAATTGTAACACTGTATAAAGGCTCAAACAACCTGGTCTTGAATTCAAAAGAATGCAGATCTGCACAGTGTTCCCCCCCCCCGAATCGGTTCCCACTCAGGCATTCAGAGCACTCTTGTTTTGTTTGTCTCCAGTGTGTGTTACCATTGAGATGTAGATTATCTTTTGTGCCACACAAAATTATTTCTGCAAGGGAAGTGTTTAAACTCCTACATTTATGTAGAACAACGGCTACAGAAATCAATAAAAGAGTGGAATCACGGCAAAAATTTGAAGTGGAGCATTGTGCACATCTTACCTAACCAGATGGCACAGAAAAGCAAAGAGCACCCTGCCCCATCAGCAAGAGGGCTTTCAAGAGGATTTGAATAGTGACCATTTCACTGTTACAAAGCAGGTTCTGTATGCAGTCGCTTCAGGCATCTGCTGATTCAGATGAGAACCTTCTCTGCACAGCAACAGTCCTTTTCTTATCAACAGAGATCCTAGTTAATATGATGCCTCCTTCATGTCCACATTCTTTTACAGCAGGAGTGGGGAATCTGTCATGGGAGGGGGGTTGCCACACATCAGGAGTGAGTGGGCTGTGGGTAAGCGCAGGGACGGAGGGCTTGAAGTGGTGGAAGGAAAGGCTCTCTTCCTTTGGCCATGGTGTAATGATAATTAATGGTTAATTCTTTCCAAGTAGAGAAGAACAATATAAACAGCTTTCAGATAACCATGGGGGGGGGGGATGAAGGCTAAGCATCTCTGCTTCTCTTTCTTTCTCCCTTCTTGCACTGCTTCTGTTTGCACAAAGGCAGAATTCCCCACTATGATCTTGGTTTGTCATATTGGCTCGTTAAATGGCATTGAAGCCAAAGTCCCCTAGTATAGGGATGTAAAAAGAGAACAAGGACCCGATGCTACAGGTGGCTGTAGTCCATCTTCATAATAGGGACCATGCACTCTGTAGCATGTGAGGACATGCAGTTTAAAATGCGAGGGTTCCCTGTCTCTGTTATTTATTTATTTATTTATTTTCAATGCAACCGCTCTAGGCGGCTCCCAGACAGGTAAAAATACAAAAACATATACATAGAGCAAAATAAAAATATCCAGCAATAGACAGGAAGCAATAAACGATGAACAATAAGCAATAAAAAATAAGCAGATTCTTCAAGATGGCGAGATGACAAAGGATAGATAAATAAAGAAAAAATACGTATTATCTGGAGGGAAGGCCTGCTTAAACATCCAAGTTTTTAGATGGGTCTTAAAAATACGCAGCGACAGGGCCACACAAATCTCTGGAGGCAGGTTGTTCCAGAGGCGAGGAGCCACCACCGAGAAGGCCCTATTTCTTGTTTTTTCCTTTCGGGCCTCCCTCAGTGTCAGGCTCCTCAGCCTCACCTCCTGATTCAATCGAGTGATACGGGTAGATCTTGGTGGGAGCAGGCGTTCTGTCAAATATCGAGGCCCTAAACCGTTTAGGGCTTTATACATAAGCATCAACACTTTGAAGTCAATGCAGAACCGAATGGGCAGCCAATGCAGTGTGGCCAGAGTGGGTGAGATGAGTTGGTATTTTCTCACTCCGCTAAGGAGTCTGGCCGCCGCATTCTGCACCACTTGGGCCTAAGAAGTGTCTCCTTGAGGGCAGAAGGGACTTTGCCCTCAAGGAAAGACCCATTAATTATTGCTGTGGCCCATTCCGTTGTTGTAGGCCTGGCTGCTTTGATTAGCCAGGCCGAGCAAGGGTCAAGGGAGGAGGAGGTGGCACGACAGCGGTCAAGCATCTTGTCCACAGTATCCGGCATTACAGGCTGAAAGCAATTGAAAGTCATCGGGCATGACAGACCGCTGGACATCTCAGCTCGACTCACTGTATTTAAAAAGGGAGTATGCCCCTGGCTTCCATATTTTTTAAAAAAAAAATCCAAGAAGATATGAACTACTTTCCTCAGCCAGTCAAAAAAGGTCAATTGGATCCAGAATCATTCAAGGCAAGTTAAATGCCTCGGGGAAGGACATGGACAAAGCAAATTGCAAAAGACCTCCTTCTGTTTTCATAGAATCATAGAACTGTAGACTTAGAAGGGAACCCAGAGGTCCTCTAGCCCAGTGGTCCCCAATGTTGGGTCTCCAGATGTTCTTGGACTTCAACTCCCAGAAATCCTGGCCAGCAGAGGTGGTGGTGAAGGCTTCTAGGAGTTGTAGTCCAAGAACATCTGGAGGCCCAATGTTGGAGACCACTGCTCTAGCCCAGTGACTCCCAACTTTGGATCCCGCTTTTGGACTACAACTCCCAGAAATCCTGGCCAGCAGAGGTGGTGGTGAAGGCTTCTAGGAGTTGTAGTCCAAGAACATCTGGAGGCCCAATGTTGGAGACCACTGCTCTAGCCCAGTGACTCCCAACTTTGGATCCCGCTTTTGGACTACAACTCCCAGAAATCCTGGCCAGCACAGAAGCCATGGTTTCCAAGAACTCAAGAGCCAGCTCAGAGATCTCTGCCTCCGCGTGAACATTGAAATCACCCAGAACCAGCAGCTCTGGGGATCTCAACGGTGCCGCGGAGACAAAGTCCATTAGCTCCGGTAGGGAAATGGCTGGGTCACGGGGAGCACGGTAACCCAGCAAGATCCCAATACCTTCCCTGGCCCCTATTGACACATGGAGGGCTTCCAGACCCAGCTTTACCACTGTGGAGCGCCTAGTAATATCTAAGGTGTTTTTGTATATAATGGCTACTCCCCCCGTCCCTCCAGTCTACCGTGGTGCTGGACAGCATAACCGTGTGGACAGGTGAGTGCTAAGGGAGGAGCCCCCTCTCTGCCTATCCATGTTTCGGTTATGCATGCCAGGTCTGCATCCTCTTCCAGGATAAGATCGTAAATCAACTGGAACTTATTGGATACAGACCTGGCGTTTAGCAGCACCAGTTTTAGAGTGGAGGGCTGGCTTGTCCGGCTACCTCGATACTGACGGTTGACCACAGTCCCAGAACGGTGAACAGCCTTTAAACATCTGTTCATCGTTCTTCTAACATGAGCAGGGGCTATGTCAATGCCGTATCTCCCTCTACCTGTAATCACTGAGATGTTTTGAGGCCCCTCACTGGGAAGCAGGCCTTCCATTCCATGTCAAAGAAAAAGAGGGGAAGAGAGACGGGGGGGAGTGCACTAAATTAATACAATCAGATAAGTAACAAACATCTAAGCTAAAAACAATGTGATCAACCAAAGATTCCAATTATAAAATAAAATACATATAATAAAAAGAAAAAATCATTTAAGAAAAGAACCCACGGTGTTTATCCCCCACATGTAGCCTTGGTCTGTCCTCCTCTACCATCAAATCTTGTCCTTTTAGGTGTTATTTTAGATGTTGTTGGGCTTAATGCTATTAAGCCTGATGTTATTAATATTAACGATGTTAGTGGTGCTAGGATATGAGTCTTACTGTAAGGCGAGTCCCCAAAGCCCCAAAGGTCTCAATGAGGGTACAGGAATCAGCAAAGGATAGCGAAAGCAGCAGGGTCCAGGCGGGAGGTGAGGTTCTCGCAGCCAAAAGCACCAGGGTCCAGGCAGGAGGTGAGGTTCTCGTAGCCATTTTCCTCCCTCGGGAAGCTGTTAAGAAGCCATTAATTTCCCTAGGGGAGCAAGCGGGGGGAGGGAGGAGGTCCTGGAAGAGATATTACCGGCCAGGCACCCAACATGGCGATCTCCAGGGCAAGCTGATTAGAATCCACGCCGGGTAGCTCTCACTCCCCCACTGCCTCTTCAGCTCTTTCTCACTCCTGGAGCCCGGAAAACCGGCTGTTCCACTTCGCCAGGCGTCCCAGCGCTTCTGGGGCCCCACAACACCTCAGGGAAACCCGGCGCAGCTCCGGCGGTTTCCAAACTCGTCTTTCCAGCGAGGCTAAGTTCTATCGGGGGTCTTACCGTGTGCCAGCCCCCACTCCAGCGATGTTCCCCAGGTTAGACAGAGGCTTCCGAACTCCACCGGCCATCAAATGCCCGCGTTTGAGTTCTAACCCCCATCCGCTGGCCACCATCTCACCGCTTGCCGCCGACCCTAGAGCTCGCTCGCCCGCTCACACGCCTGCTCGCAACAGTAGCGCCAGCCCGGACCCAAAACCAGACCAGGTAAGAGAGGAGGGCAGACCAAAAAATTAAGAAAGAAAAAATAAGGACAGGAGAGATAAAAAAGCAAAAGAAAAAAGCCGAAAAACAAAGCTGGTGCAGTGCCGAAAAACGCTATCTGCCTGCCACCGGCACCGTCTTGTTAATCCATGTCAAAAGCTAAGCTCCAAAGCTGTATGTGAGAAAATTCAGGGGGTAGGGAGGCCCGAGAAGAGACCTGAATGTCAAGATCCATTCCCAGAATCACAAACCATGGTTTAGAAAGGCACACAGGTGCACAAATGAAGCCGTCTTCCTGAGTAGAGAAGAACAACATAATGTGTGTCTTGTGAGTGTCTGTGTGTAAAAGTGGGATTCAAAAACCCACAGTAGCGGCATGATGCTACTTTTCACACTGAGGCATGCACAGCAGACATGAATAAGTCAGCTGCTGGAGAGGTGGCTGGTGGGTGAGGGAGCTCAGTTTTTAGATGAGTCTTAACAGAATGAGCAATAACCCTTTTTTAAAATAAAAATGGAAGTACCTATAGAACAACTCTCCCACAAGGGTGTGTGTGTGAGAATAATTCAAGGCAGGTTTGAAAAGGCTGGCAACAAGCTCTGCATGAACAGCATATAATGATTTGCTAAACCCCCTCCATGTTTTAATTTTAATTCTTTTGCCTTTTAGGTTACCTTCCGCACTAGGATCTACCACTGCAACATTAACAGTCAGGGAGTCATCTGTCTGGATATTCTGAAAGACAACTGGAGCCCTGCTTTGACTATTTCAAAGGTTCTGCTGTCTATTTGTTCTCTCTTGACAGACTGCAATCCTGGTAAGATGATGATTTCTAAAACCACTGTGTTACTTACTAATTGTGCAGCAAGCCGAGTAGAATACTTGGCGATCAGAAAATTGTGTTGAAATTGTGTTAATAATTTACCAAAATATTACATGAGCTGGCAAATGCAGAATTGTTTTGATTTTATACAGTTCAGTCAGGACAGAAGTTATGTTTACATTGCTGGCTGAAATCCTGTTGCTTAGTGTAATGAATCACAACTCTACTAGGCCCATTGAATCACTTTTAAGCACCAGCTCAGACTATTTCACTCTACCTTCCTTTTCCCTGCCTGGAAAAAGGACGGAAAATTGAAGGCAAGGTCTCGGCAAAACCTGAAATGGAACAAGCTCTGTTTACCGTTTCAGCTGGAGCCCCAAGGATTACTCCCAGGTGTTGTCTGGCACATGGAGCGCTTTAGGGTGGAAAGGACTCCAGCTTCACACCTTAGTATTAGTCCCCCACCTGTCTCAAAGGAGGATGGCATACTAGAAAGTCAGCTGCAATCTATTGGCTTGAATGCATAACTCATTTCATGTCACTCGCCTTTTCTCCATTTTCCCTTTTTTCTTTGTGGCCAAACACAAATCGTCCCTTACCCCCAGGCTACAACAGGGCAGATGTGGAAAAGCCCTGTTGTGTGAAACCTTCTGTTTACTGCACACCCTGAGTGCTGAAACGTGTTAAAAATGACAACTATCAGGCTGATGTGTTTTGTAACGTCGGGCAGTCTAAGAAAGCTGCAGTAGGAATGGCAGAACATTAGATACGCTTCACTTTAAAACTGTAGACTTAAAAACCTGTTTATCCAAACGTGAAGTTTGGACAGAAGTTGCTTTGCCAAAAGCAAAATTGTGTGTGCCTCTTCCAGTTGACTTGTGTGTTGTTATAGCTACCAGGAAAATTTCTCTTTAACATCTGGACGTTGCTGTCTGCCAGCTTGGAAGAGAAAAGTAACAGGGATGTAAAGAGAAGATGAGCAGATGCAAGCTCTCCTCCCCTGCTGTAGTCTTAACCTCTGTAGCGACTCTGCGTAAGTCTCCCAGCGGTATGACTTACTGTCTCTTAGCTTTAACTGGGACACTCATAAGAACAGTGATAAACAAACTCTGGTTGCCCTGATGTATCTGTGACTTGAATGACTCCTAACGCAGCTGTCTCCCTCCTTCTCTCCCACTCCGCCCCTGCCAAACCCTTGCAGCTGATCCTCTGGTGGGAAGCATAGCCACTCAGTACCTGACCAACAGAGCAGAACATGACAGGATAGCCAGACAGTGGACCAAGAGATACGCAACATAAAACAACACTGACGACTTTTGTGCGGCACGAAGGTGCGGAGATGCAGCTTTGTGGTGCGCAACTAATCTTTATAGCCTTTACAATACGGACTTCTGTGTATATGTTATACTGATTCTACTCTCTGCTTTTATCCTTTTGAAGACTGGGATACTGCTTTCCTTCCCCCCCCTCTTTTTTCCCCCCTTCCCCTCATCCGCCCCTCCCCCAAAAGGTAAAATGCTATCAAGAGTAGAACTTTGTAGCTGTAGATTAGTTATGTTTAAAATGCCTACTTGCAAGTCTTGCTTCTTTGGGATATCAAAATGTATTTTGTGATGTAACTAAGGATACCGTTCCTGAAGTCAACCAAATATTATAGTGCATTTTAGCCTAATTCATTATCTGTATGAAGTTATTAAAGGTAGCAGTAGATGACTAGGAATTACGTCATTTGTATTAAGCCCAGATCTATTTCCAATATGTGGTACATGCTGTTGTAAAACTGTTTTAAACTTTTACCTTTGTCGGTTTGTAATGAAAGGGATTCCTTCTCTACCCCCTCCCCTCCCATCGCCACCCACCTTGTAGCTTGGAGAGCATCCAGTGTATCATCTCAAACACAATAAACATGTTCCCCAAGGAAGAGCTTCTTTGTTTTCATATTTGAAATCGAAACAAGAGCATGCTAGGATAGATCAGGCTGGAATTGGAATTGGAACGCGTGCAGGGAGAGATCAGGATGCTGGGCGTTTTCAGTACCGATCCCTATGGAAAATTAGTCTATGGGAAGGAGAGCCCCTGAACGGAGGACCGTGTAGATTATATTGACAGCTCGCCTCCCTCTGGCCAGTGCTGCTTTGCCGGATGTGAAACCTGTCGGGTGTAAATGTGGGCATATGTTTAGAACCTAGGCAGCATTAAAGATAGAGTGGGGGCCATGCAGTCCCCCTGATGCTTTTGGACTACAATTCCCATATGGCCTAGTGAGGAGAGCCACAGAGGAAGGGTGACAAGAATCACAGTCCAGCTAAGTCTGTCTGGAGGAGTACAGGTCTCCTGCCATCCTTGGTTTAAGGGCGGGGCATTTCCCATCATCATCCCCACCCCTAGTCCCTACCCCATCCTAAATTGCCACCACCTTTAAAACAAATAATACAGTACAGAAGCCAGAAGGAGACAGAGGTTTGTCCTCCTGCAGAAAAAGAGGAGTTTAAATGTTTTAATTGAAATACTAAAACTAACACTAGTGATGATTAGGATTGTAGTGTGTTGGTAGGGGGAGTGAATCATTTCCTCCTTCATCTCGATCCTGCTAAAAATGTGTCGTCCCCCACAAAAAAATATCTATTAGTTCTAGGAGGGAAGTTCTCATTAGTATCAAAGGGAATCCTCCTCCTTGTTTAATAGTGGTTTTTGGAAGGAGGGTGATGTTGCTGGGGTCTCAATAAAGGAGTAAAGGATTTTTATTTTTTACTACTAAGTCCTGAAATCCTTCTTCCCCCGACACACACACACACACACATTGTTATGGTCCATGGTGACCATGTTGGTTAAACTGCCCCTCTCTGTAGACCTGATAAACATCCCGTCTCCTCCACCAGTTTTTTGCCATTTTGAAGACACACAAGTAAGCCATACGTTGTGTGTCAAGTGTCGCTTGGCCTTTGGAGCTCCATAAAAAGGTAAACAAACAGGTTGTGGAGCCATGAACACCTAATTCCTGGAGCGAGGTAGCTTATAGCACAGACTGGGAAGAGTCCAGCTGAGCTCCCTCACCCACCCACCCCTTACCGTCTTCCGGTTGGCCCTTATCAGAGCTTAGAAATGTTACTTTATCTATTGCAATGTCAGAATCCCAAAAGCAAATTAACTTCCAAGCTGCTTGAGCCCCCCTCCCCCATCACTACCATTTACTGTTGTTTACGATAAGTACAAACTAGAGTCTGCTAGAATTTGCTATAAAGCCTCTAGCTTTTACAAGGGAAGACTGTATACAAAGGTCTGAGAACCTCTGAGGTCAGGTTTGTTTCCAGGAGAGCTACCGTAGATTGCCAGTGTTTGCTCAATATGAAACAGAGGACAAGCAATTCACTGCTTTTAGGTTAGGGTAAATGTTGCAGCCTAATTAGTCACGTTAAAAACCGGAGGACAGGGTGCGCTGTCTTTACTGGCTTCTCTCGTACTAGGGATCTGGTACTGTACATTAAAAAGAAAGGGAAGGGGGGAAAACTGCCGAGGCAAAAGGCACTTTTGCAAATGAAATGTAGGTTTAACTCACAAATCCCTGGGAGCAACTCCTGCACCTGCCACATTGAAATGAATGGTCCGTCCCTCACGATCAGTCATTTTTGCACAGTCCCTGCACATTTTGGTGGGAACTGCACCGGATTCTTACATGGTAGATTGTATTCTTTCTCTTTCGGGAAGGCCCAAGGCATACATTGCTTCCTGCATTTTGGTCCTTCCGACCCTAACTGGCTCTCCCCTTGATGTCCGTCTAGGTCACCTTGTTTGCTTGGGTTGGAGTGTCCACATCAAGGTGGGCTCCTTCTCTGAGGTGGCTGATACTGCCATGGAAATCAGCTATGCAATCAAAGCACACCTGTAGATCAGCAGGGCCAGCCACAGGGTCAGCAGAATAATATGTTAATGTGGGCCTAATGAATAAATCAATTTATGCTTAAGACCTAGGTATGAATTCTAAATACAGGTTCTATTTCAGCTCATTTTTTTCTGCTTCTTATTACTCAAGGATGGTGGCAAAACTTGGAAAAGGAGGGGAAAAAAGGGGTGGGTGATCTAAGTCGATTTATGACTGATTAGCTGACTCTTAAACTATTGACACTTATGCATGTCTAGACCTCCTCTGTCAAAAGGTTCTGTATGTCTGTTGACATGTGGATTTCAGTATTTTTTTTAACTATTGAAGCATTGTGAGACTATAGACTCTTCAGGATGTTTTAGGTTCATATCTGTGAGATCTGTGCCTCTCCAGAATGTGACATGCTGTGCAGTGTCTCTCATGCTCTGAGAATGGGGTTCAGGTGAAGGTTGTCCCTTGACTTCTCAGCCCATTGTTGTTTTCCCTTGTCATTGGGGAGGTGGGTGCTCATAGCTTGCCTTCTTGTTTTTGGCCTGAAATCAAGGCCAGTATACAACTGGGTTCCCATCTAGTAGAGCAAATAACCTGTTGAGCCCACCAATTTGCTGTATACCTCTTTCTACACTACAGTTTTGTTCTCAGTGAATCCGGTAAAGCTGTCTGTGAGCTGTCCCACTCTCAAGACTGTAGTAAAAAGGCTCTTTGTCATTTGATTGCTCCTCCATGTATTAAAAGTAGGGGAGGGCTCTAAGCGAGTCTGATTCGTATCGTGCTAGCTTTCTGTGTGCAGAAAATGGTGTGTGCGTTGAGGGGGCAGCATCCACTTCCGGGAGCCCCAGCCTGCACTCAGCGACACAGACAACCGCTTTGCCATCTCACTGAGACCTAGAGAGAACATAATGGCAGAGAGCTTGGGGATGTTAGGTTTGGGGGACTACAAATCCCAGAATCCCCTAGCCCAGGCTGGTTGAAGATTTCTGGGAGTTGCCCCTCACACGCCACTTTTCCCAAGTTCTAATATGGCATCTTTTTAAAAACAAACAAGCATAACGGTGTGCAACCTGTACAGTGTTTCTCCCAGGCACGCACCCACCCACCCTTCTTTTCATTGGGCCCCACAGAAAGGAATGGATTGAACACGTGCTTTATATATTTGCCCTATAATTTTGTGGGAACAAAGGAACAGCGACTGCTAGGCAATTAGAGTGTGGGGAGCGAAATCCCAAAGATCATGATGTTCTCCTTGATGCTGATTCAAGGCATCCACCCTTTGTATGTACAACGCTCTTGTGAATTTGTAACTAAGGGGCAAAATGTATATTTCACATATTAAATATGTGACCTACAAAGCTTTCAGATGTTTATATCACAAAATATATAATGTAATTTAAAATCCTGTTCTTGTTTTTAATATACTAAAGTTCCCTCTTACAGCTCAGATTGCTGAGAAACCTTGGTGTATAAGGTGGGATGGCTTCTGAATACTGCCTGCTCCTGCTCCTCCCCATTACCTTCTTTTCTAAACATTTGCTTACTGGTTCTGAATTCCCTTCTTGTCCTTGGTTTGTCACAACCTTGTTCTTTTTAATGTAGTTTTTATTTTGTCTGTAAATTTTATATTTACTGAAGTATGAGGTTGGGTTTTTTTGTGTATACATTTAAACTTTAAAAAAATACAAGCAAAACTTACTTTTGTTTTCTCAACTTTTCTCTGCTTACACTGAGCAGTAGAAAGAAATTTGTATTGTTAAAATAAATTGATTAGTTGTTAAAAGAAGGATGTGTGCCTGTTTCTTTGGGGGGGGCGTGTCTTGTGGCTTAGGGTTCACCCACAGGGTCCCTCTGTCCTTTAAAAGAAACCCAATAAATCCCAACCAGAGTATGAAAGGATGGTCATGTGCCACCTGAATTGGGATCTGTTCTCATCTATAAACAGAGGACGGCACTCCTGAGCACACAACGTGTATTAAGAGGTCTTTTTTAAATAAAAAAAACAGCAGCCATCTTTCCCTCTAACTTTCACAACCAAGAAAGAATTTATTTCGGGACAACATGGTAAAACTTCCGTATAAGCAGAATTCATTGTCTTGATGCTTCACTGACACTTTACAGCACAAGCAGCCTCATAGCTATGTGTATTGGCTGGATGCTTATCACGCCTTAAATACTTGGCTGATTGTCAGAGTATTTATGCAGGTAAGGAGAAGGGGACGACCGAGGATGAGATGGCTGGACAGTGTCTGCAAAGCAACCAACATGAATTTGACCCAACTCCGGGAGGCAGTGGAAGACAGGAGGGCCTGGCGTGCTCTGGTCCATGGGGTCACGAAGAGTCGGACACGACTAAACGACTAAACAACAACAACAAGCCCTCTGAAAATCTATTACTGGTGTTAATTAGCATTATTGTCGCTTTCTGCATCCCATTTCACTGTGATCCCACTCCTGCAACAGGGTACCATGCGTATATGTCACTGAGGCTGAGTCTTCATTGGTTCTCAACCTTGGGTCCCCACATCTTCCTGGACTACAATTCCCAGAAATCATGGCCAGGACAGCTAGTGGTGAAACCTTCTGGGAGTTTTAGTCCAAGAATAGCTGTTTGGGAACCACGGTTCTAGTCCATACTTCTCCAGTGGATTCGAATCTTTAAAAAAGTTATGTTAAAGTATACCAGTTAGTCTTAAAGGTGCCACCACTCATTTAATGTTTCCCTCCTCTTTTTTTAAAAAAAGCTGTCATTAAGGTGGCAAGGAGGTAAATTAATAGTCTAGGCTCTCCAAAGCCAGATCCCATTAGCCAAATGCCATCCCTTTTTGGCTAATGGGGTGTCCAGATTAATGACAGGTGGGAGCCTTTGGCCGCCCCAGATCTTTAGCTCTTACAGTTTTGGCAATGTTAGCTTTGCAGATACCCTGGGCTGCCAGAAGGAGAAACCAGTGAGTCTTAGAGCAAACCAAGCCTAAACTCTCTCTGGAGGTTAAAATGATGAAACTGAGTCTATCCTACTTTGAGCACATCATGAGAAGGCAGGATTCTTT